ATTATTACGAAAATAAATATTAGTCACATTGTTTGCTCACAGCAGCGTGAGTTAAGTATCAACAATGACAGTGCTTAATAAATTCCCGTTCGCAGCACGAGATGTATGGCTTTTGCCGACAAGAGCTTTAATCGAATACAATTAAACGTAACGATACACTTGTGCGCGGCTGTCGAACAATGGAACACTTCGCATTGGAACACTTGGAAATGAGAATGGCATCAAGTATGCCGAAGAGAGTTTATTGTGCGTATTCAAATTCAGGAAGTGTGCTCAGAGAATATGGAATAACACCTAAAGGAGAATCCAATCTTGTCCGATGTACAAATATTTATTGAATTATTTTCTTTCCACGCTGATGTCCAAATGTTCGTCTTTAACCAATAATGTCACGCACGAGCAAACACAAAACACTTCTACTGTAAAACACTCTTAAAACCATAATAAGAAGAAGAAAAAGACAGAAAATGCCCGGAATGTCATTTAATTATTGTTTGCGAAAAAGTTTTGTTAAGAAGCTGCAAACTTCGCAACTGATGCCCGTAATAAAGGATTTTTATATATATGATGTGTACAATGAGTGAGATAGAGCGAAAAGTTACTCAACAAAATACCGCTTCGCAATAATAATAACACTAAATTCATTAGGTGCGTACGCCGCAACTGACAACGACGAATAAAGCCTTTGCGCTATACTGCACTCAGTCGCTTTTTTTCTTCATTCTAGCACATACCATACATACATTATTGAATTCCGACGGAGTTGTCTAACAGCAATCTCTGTGACAATGCTTTAATCCTTTTAATGAACATTTTGCAAATATTTACGACAACGAAACGAGCCATTTTTTTCAATCAGGTAAAATTTATCTAATCAAATCCCGATGGCAACAGAACGACACTGAAATTGTTATTACTACACATTTTGAAATTCATCACACACATACACACGTACATTGCCGCACCGTATCACATGTGTACTTCATCGTTTGCAGCGCTGACGAGCAAAATCGTTAAATTTTCCAGAATATGCCATTAAAAAGATTTTTTCGATTTCGTTCTTTTTCTTCATCTTTTGTCGTTTTATCGCATCAAAATTGAACGGAAGAGAGAAAGGGAGAGAGGATGCCAACATGAAAAAGTGAATATTCAGCGGTAATATTAAATCCTTATCACGTCTTCTTGACAGAACATAAAAGTAGTAAAACTGAACTAATATAAAAACTGCAATGGCTTAAAGTGATTTTAAACTGTAGTATCATCAAAACGGAACGGATTCGATGGTTGTTTGATACAAAAACGCGAGCTTCTTGAAAGTATTTACTTTTTCTTAAAAAAAAAAAAACGATTCAATACTTGAAAACTTTTCATCAATACACACATATACATATTACATGTTACCCGAACGCAGGTCAAATGCAAAGATTTATCGGCGTGACCCTATTTGGTTGATTAGCTGCTTTTTTTCGCATCTCTTGAAAATTCGACGAGAAAAAACATTGTCCAGCGCAAATAAAATACTATGACAAATGCTTTTTACAAAAAGCGAATTCTAATTGAATGTTTTCTGCGAATTCGATGGGAAAAAAAAAAAATATTCCACGAAATTGTCGCATTACTTACCCAACCCAATGCAGAAATGAATAAGCGAAATGCTCATTTTTCTTGAAGAAAAATTGATCGAATAAATTTGGAGTGAAAAAAGCAAGAAATTGTAAACGACAACTGTTTGACTGGCACACTCACATAAATATCCACTTGTTGGTTTCACATGCACAATACAGTGTAAATGGCTGTGCGAACAAATCATCCATAGCTCAAGTTCCAAATATCTTGTGGATTGTGTCAATTCGCAAAAGCTACTACAAGTGGTATGTACACAGCATGAGCACGTTCGATAAAGCGCACATCGAAAGTTTATGGAGTTGTATTATTACCACATTGACCGAATGTGTTGGATGGTGGAAAACTGAAAGGCGAAATGGTAAAGAGAGAGAGAAAAAAACATTCCAAATGGGAAATGAAATCAAACACCGCACAAGTCACAATCGATGAAATATGTTGATTATATTTTCTGTGTTCGTTTACGACAGCCTGACATTTTCAAATGTGGACTGATTTAAAAACCGATTTCACTTTTCAATTGCTACGCAAAGTACATCTTAAACTCTTAACCGCCCCCTTTTTTCACTCTGGTTCTTCTCTCTCTCTCTCTCGCTCTGCTGCTGGACATACGTAAACCCATCGGATAAAATACGTTTCACGACAACTTGCAGCGATGATTTTTTTTCTCTCGCTTTCCATAAAAAGAGTATTTGGCTCGTATTTCACGTGAACGAAATGGCATTTGTAACAGTGTTATGTCCACAGTGAGCAATTCTTTGCACGTTCAGTACATTCATTCCCTCGAGTGCATTTTATGTACGATGTGTGTGCACAGTGTGCATTGAAGTTGGAAATGAAAGGGAATAGAAAAAAAAGTGGCTCAACCGCCAGTTGAAGGTTTGTAATTTGCAAACAAGTAAATGGAAAGCGAGTTGAAAGCTATTAAAATATTTAATTCATTCTCCATTCGTTGTCGGTGTCACGCTTATGGCAAAAATAGAGTTTTTGTTGCACAATTTAACACACATACACACAAACACAAATTATTACAGTTTGCATCAGTTTATTTAGTAATGTACTTATAGTTGTAACCAAAAGTGATTACACAAGTACATTAATTGCGTGTTCAATTGAATAAATCAAAGTTGGGTGGATTGTTGTGTGTGCGGATATGCGTGTAATCGTTGGTAACCGACGATAATCACTCAATTGTATGTGTTGTTATTTAATAATAATATTTCGTCGTTTATAATATTTCTATGATTACCACCTGCGAACCGCAACAATATTCGCACAATTCGAATTAACCATAAATTACAGCAACTACAAGCAAATAAAGTAATTTCACTTATACACTTTTTTCTATTTACTGCAATGCGTAAATAAAAACAAGAACAAAATCAAGAAGAAGAAGAAGGTCATGTTTCGTGCGTTGATTTCTTTCTACTGTTGTACTTTTTCATTTCTCTGCAAAATGGTTTTTTATGTCTTTTTTTACTTGTTGGGGTTTGCAAGCGGTACCGTCAAAATGTGCTCCAAATTTTACGTCGCATTATTTATATATATGATACATTTAAGGTCATATCCGTTTATAATTTTAAACAATACTTTATTGCATTCTCTCACGCAAAATGAATTGACTGGCACATGGTGATGGCGGCGCCAGCATGCAGAGGCATGTTGGGCAGATTGACCACAGCTGTCGATGTTCAATTTTGATTGTACGGCAAAATCAACGCAAGATTTATCGCTTTACGGAATCGATTTCAATTCAAGGCAAACAGCATTTGCCGAAAAACGGCAAACTGATAAAATATAATTTGAAACGAACAAAACAGTTTCTTGATTCATTTTTATGCTTTCCCCTGTCTCGCTCTCTCTCTGGGATAGCCCATAAATATTTTTATCGTGAGATATTGATTTAACATGTTCAACGTTTGGTGCTTCCTCTTCATCGCCTTCTTCTCCCCCTATCTAACTGAAATGGCATCGTTACAAGAAAATTTCCATATTTTCTTCGACTTTGTTCAGTTTATCGTCGCATAACAAATTTTGTGTGCTTCATTTCGATGTATTTATCGTCATATTTATTTTACTTCAGAAAAAGTATGCTGGCTAAATATTCAACAAAAATGCGAGTCTATTGAACTAAACAAATTCAACATAGTCAGCAAACACGCATTTTTCAACTTCCGCTGGTTTCAGTTCTATAATAGAACTTCTATTACAAGACCGCATCAAGTGTGTGTGGTTTTGTTCGACTGAGATTTTGTCGATTCGATGAACTTAGAAAAAAAGCATTCTCGCTACTGAATGAAAGTGAATGCGGAACCCCCTTTTTGTGAAGATCCATTGTAGCACAATGCCACTGTAAAAGTGTGATAAGGATTGCACGCAGTTATGTAATAATTGGTACTTTATATTTATATGTCAAGTGAACATGATCATTTTTTGTGACAATGAATCATTTTAGTTCACTTGATGCACGCGCACGCGAACGACAGCATTCAACAAACAAATATCAACAACAAAATATACATCATTGGATACTTTACGACGATGTATACACACACATCAATTTGATAATATATGTAATAAAAGTGTTTTTTTTCCTTCTCATTCTTATTTTGCGATTCCGCAAATAGCATTTAATCGAGATATAAAAAAGCACTGAAAATATAAAATATATTTACGCTACTCATACAATAACCATTCAAAATAGAATAAACACAGAGCAGATTTTCTTTTGTGTTAAAGTTTGTTAGTAGTAAATTTATTTGTGTGGGTAAACGCATCGCTTCACTGTGACACAGATAAAATTGACGGAGAAAGTTCTCTATTCACTTTTAATACGTATTCAAGATGATAACACGGAAATTTAAACATATTGGCTGTTACAAGTTTTGCGTCCACTCCACATGTGGCCCGACATAATTGTTAAATTGTAATCACATGTTCATTTGTTCAACAGACTGAATGGAATAGAACTTTTTGACTTGGCGATAGGAGACATTTTTTTGTTTTGAATTATGTTCAACCGCTATAGTTGGGGGATCTTTTCCCACACATTCATTTTCCACATGATTTCCGTTGATATCAATTATCATCTGAAACTCGGTCAATTTAACACAAACAAAATGTTTATAAAGACGATATAATAACAGTTATTCACGTCGCACTCTGCTTCCAAATAAGACGTTCAGTATCTGGCAATTTGGATGAGTAGTCAAATCTTAGTCAATGTCAGACCTTAGGCCTTGCCTTAGGCAGTATAAAATTCTTTTTTGCTTTTTAACAATCGATTTAGATGGAGAAATGACATTAGTATGGACTTACCAATAAACAAAGGTCAGTGTTTTACGTAACCATATATGGTAAGAAATGTGAATACACAATTTTAATATTATTTCTTTGATTTTGCTTTTATTTTATTTGTTTTCTGACATTTGCGAACAAAACGATGACATTTTTTATATAAGTCGCCATATCTAGTTCATGGACTTTAGTTTGGAACGTCCCTTTTAAGTTGAGCTTTAAATCCATTTACGTCAAAGTTATGGCTTTCTTGTAAATGGTCTAAAATGCCATCGGTAAGTCTATTGCATTCACTAATTATATGATACCATTCCTCTTCTCTTGAACTACGATCAATCGTCCCTTGTTTCACTTCATTAACGATTTGATAAAATATACTATTTTCTTGTGCGAGTTCGTTGATTCTGTCTAAGACTTGTTTAATGTATATTCCAATAAACAACTTTGTTACAATAAGTCCTTCCCACCGGTTTACTGTTTTTTTGAATTTTCTTTTTGCTTCCGGCGTTTGTCTATTCATTATATTTAAATAATTTTTGTAAATCCGATCGAATGGTCGACAAAATTGACAATACTCAGAATGCAGCAATGTAAGATCTTCAAAAGTTGATTGAAAAAATAAATCGATGTCCTCCAGAATATCTAATAAAAATGCATCGTTATTTGTCTCCAATACGGCATTTGCGAGATATTGCTTAATATCCTTTATTCTTTCTTCGATGGCTTGCATGTCGTCAAGATATTTTTTGCCAAATCTTGCATCATCGTTGCCAAACACCAAATGGATCTGTTTTTGTGGAATATTTATCAATTTTTATAATAATAAACAATTTGTCGATTTTTGCGGACTGACGGAAAGAAAACGAATTTTTATAAGTAACACAGAAGCGAAGAGCTTCTCTTCAACTTAAGACAGCCAATTTTGTTCACAATTATTGAACTGACTTCTATACTCAGAGAAATCGAACAGTGTGCACATGAATGTGTTCATTGTATTTCGCCCATTCACACTGAAGTTGTTTCTTCCCTGTGTGACTCTTCATTTTACACTTTGATTTTGCAAGTTCAAAGCAAAATGATTTTGCGTGAAAAAAACTATTTTTTTTTTAATTATTAAATTTTTTTCATGTTTTTATTTTATTTTTAAATATCCAATGAAAGATTTAAAACTTAATTTGGTTTGACATTGATTCAATTTGTAGTGATTTTTTGCTTTAGGAAAAAATTAGCGTTGCGATGTAAAAAATACAAACAAAATTCATCTCTAACGTTTATATTTGGGATAATTGTGTTATTTTTTTCAACATTTTATCGATTTTGTACATTGAAAGAGCCAAAACAAGTGATATATTTAAGTTTGAAGCGATAAACACAACGATTAAAGTGTTTTTTCATGCATGAAAATGTGCGACGGTTCATTTAAAAGACACACACTCTGCACAAGTAGTCATTTAGCATGATGTGGCTGTGTCATGTACTGATGTGGCTCTGTGACTGACAGACTTTCATTTTTTGCTAAATATATTGCAATAAATATTTCTATAGAATAAAAATATTTGATAGCTTTGAATGTATGCGTGAGCCGAGATACGTGTGCTACACACTTCATTTCGCATACATTCAAAGCTATCAAATATTTTTATTCTATAGAAATATTTATGGCAATATATTTAGCAAAAAATGAAAGTCTGGTGACTGACGTGTCGACTGTATCAACCGAACGTTCTGTGTTCAATACTAAAAATATTTTTAATTTTTTTTTATTCCAATTTAAATTATTTTCATTTTATTTTCATTTTATTTTCAATTATTTACATTTATTTTATATTTTCCTAATGAAACAAGAAGAACAAAAATTCATTAATGCTATTTACCTTAAAAAATGGAAATTCAAGTCTATTATTCACATAGTCTTGAATATTCATTTTTGAAGGTAAATAGCTTTAATGAATGTTTTTTCTTCTTCTTTCATTAGGAAAATATAAAATAAATGTAAATAATTGGAAATAAAATGAAAATAATTCAAATTGGAATGAAAAAAAAATTGTGAAGAGTGTGTGTTTTTCAAATGAACCGTCGCACATTTTCATGCATAAAAAACACTATAATCGTTGTGTTTATCGTTTCAAACTTAAATATATCACTTGTTTTAGCTTTTTCGATGTAGAAAATCGATTAAATGTTGAAAAAATAATACAAATTATCCCAAATATGAACGTGAGAGATGAATTTTGTTTGTATTTTTTACATCGCAATGCTATTTTTCTTCTAGAGCAAAAAATCACTACAAATTGAATCAATATCAAAACAAATTAATTTTTAAATCTTTCATTGGATATTTAAAAATAAAATAAATACATGAAAATTTTTTAATAATTGTAAAAAAATAGTTTTTTTTCACGCAAAGTCATTTTACACTGAACTTGCAAAATCTAAGTGTAAAATGACACAACCTCAGTGTGAATGGGCAAAATACAAAAATAATAAATAATAAATTCACACTGTTCAATTTCTCTGAGTACAAAGTGTTCTTATAACTAGTAATAAATGAAGATATTGCTTTTATTCAAATAAATTTAAGTAAAACCATCGTTACTTACGCCAGATGTTAAAGCAGCTACCAAAAAGAATAAGTTAATTGAAGTTTTCATTGTTTTTCTCGCAAAAATAAACTAAGCTTAACATCACAAAACAGACAGATATTTATATGATTAACCATATGTTAGAAGTTTGATCACACATAGATCTTGCTTGAAACAATAGCTCAAATATGCGCACAAAGAAATTTTTCAAATTATTACACAGTATATTTGCATTTTTTTGGCCATGTATTGAGTTTGTTATCGCCTTATGGAAATATTTCTTTCAATGGTGTAACTAAAAGTCAGCTTTGAGGTACGAGTTACTATGCGATTACTTTTTTATTTGATATTACTCGTTATATGGAATTTTCCACCAGTATGTGAGATACTTGCTAAAACGTGTAAGAATCATTTTTCGTCAAAGACTGAGGACATTTCGAAGTTTACAGTGATGGTTTTTTCCTATCTAAATAGCACCAGCTATTCTCAGCATCTGTACAGCACTGCTGCCTAGATGCTGAATCGATAAGGAAAAACCATCACTGGAAGTTTATTTTTGACTACCCATCCAAAAAATATAAGGCATATTTGTTTTATCAGTATAATAACACCATAACGCATGACTGATAGCAAAAATTTACGACAAGTTCATACCAAAATGTCCCCAATATCGTTGCATCATAGATCGATATGAAACAAAGGAGGAAGCACAATCATTTTTGTTTATAAAGCTTCCGGTATTTAATTTATTTGTGCATAGCTTTAAAAATTGGATTAAGAAGATCGTGGAATCTCCCTGGAATTTAAATAGCATATCCCCATCGTAAATAAACTAGAATATGAACTATGAATTTA